TTTAATAAATTTGTGAATGAAAAGTTCAATGAAATAGATAAGTAAAGTTCAATGAATTAATTAGATGTGTATTATATGATTGTCCTACTTATGATTGGGTTCAATGATGAGTAAAATTTGCTTGTGCATCACATGATTATGGGACGTAGAAGTTCGCCTAAGAAGAGGAGTAGAGAATTAAATCTACATGGTAAAGTTTTCATCTGAGTTGATGGCTTTCTTGGATTGTTTATATTTATATTGTCCCATTTGTCCAACAAGGGACTGTCTCACTGATTCAATGAAGGACTCGAACCTAGCTAGCTATCCACTGGTTCAATGAGGAAACTAGTTTAGAGAGAATAATACCCCATAGTGTGAGAAAATAGGAGAAACGTAATCATGTTTTACAAGTGAGTTGGGTAAATCTTGACCTCATAATTCCCTCATAAGTGTTTATGTTAGAGAAGTCCTAGAGTATAGACTACCTAGTGTACTATAACCCATGGTTTCATGTTAGAGGAATAGGAGGATAAAAGGGAGATGTGATCGTGCATATAATGAAAAAGGGTAGAAGGTAATATGTATTGTGACCCTAATGTTGATAAATATGAGTATAACTTGGTTTCATAAGAAATTATGTTGATAGACTATGGGTTTAGTTATTATGAAGTGGTGTTATCAAATCATGATCCTTTGAGTATGTGCAAATATGCTTGAAAATGTGGATTTTATGTCCTAAAGAATGATTTGTGATTTGAAATCTTATTGTAATTAGCCATTTACATTTAAATTAATTGACATGCATTAGTATGAGTTAGTTAGACCTTAGTTATTGAGTAGTTGTACTCACCTTATTATTTTCAATATTACAAGAAATAGCTTAAGAAGATCAGAAAGAGGAAAACAACTCTAGACATAGGACTGCGATTCAATTAGTAGGCCTTTTTATTTTGAGTCTTTATGTGTATATGATAATTGAAATTGCCAACTACAAATAGTCCATTTTGGTTCTTACTTGCATGATATGTTTTGTGAGTTGTAAGTGTATTTTGGATCCTGGAGAGTGAGTTTATGAAATGTGATATTTGTTATAAGACTAAAATACTAATGCAAGTAAAAGTTTGGCATATTGTGTGGTGTTTATGAAATATTTGATGAAGTAGATGATTGAACTCCCCCTCTATGTTTTTTTAATTAAGGGGTTGAGTAGTAAAATTGTGAATTATAATTGTTTGATATGATGTGGTGCTTTGCACAGGTTAGTTTTGGTTTATTGTAAGTGGTTTAAGTGGTGTTTATGACTCTCAGCTTTTGGTAAATGAATTGGACATTTAATTTTGTAAAAATTGTTGAAAAGTGTAAGTTTTGAAAAGAGTGTCCAAATTTTGAATGTGTAATAATTTGGTAATGAAACCAAAGCCATTATTTAGAGCTCAAAAAGAACTTTCTATAGACACTTAATTTGCGTCAATCAAATATTGGACGGAGGAATGAGACACTTTAAAAGTTATCCTAAAAGCTGTTAAATTGACATCAGAAGTCATGGAACGTGCCATTAGCCACGGCACTTGTTCAATGAGCCATGACACACGCCCCAATTTTTACACAATAACTTTGTTTTTTGATTCTTTTGTGAATGCACTAATTTTTGAAATTATCCCTTGTTTCTATATAACTGTGAACTCTAATTTGTTTCTTTAAAGATTATTGTGAATGGTTTTAGTTTTGAAAACTTGAAATCCAAATGTACTATTTATTCATAAACTTGGTAAACTTATTTTTACCTTAATCCAATCTCTTAATTAATTGAGATTTGGAGTTAATCATGATTAGAGAAGGAAGATATTACACTCAATCTGATAATGAGTCATGCAGGGAAAAAACGCTTTAAAGAGGTAACTGAAATTGATAAGGTGGCAGTGAAGATTTCTTTTGCAAAAGATAACACAGAAGAATTAGTGCAGGAAGTGAATGAGCTTATGTAGAAAGGGGAGAAGGCTGACTAGCAATCATAATAGGGTTGAATCTAGCTCTTCAGTTTATTATATTGGATCTTATTCCCTAGTTCACAAAGGCCCCACCAAGCCATTATGTTGAAGCACCAGAGGAAGAGGAAGGCAATGAGAAAGCAGTAATACCTATAGTGGGTTTATCGTTAGTTTCACAAATCACTCTTAGGCTTAATAGAATTGCTCTTTAAAGGCCCATTCTTGAAGACCTCAGATCCATTTTCCCTAAACGATGTTGTCGGTTGTTCATTGAAGATCAAGGAGAATTGAGTAATGCTCTATCGGTGGCTCCTTCTACTCTAAGTCATTACACAAATTGAAGAATAGTCAAGCGACATATTTGAAGTGGTCGAGGACATTCAAACTCGACTTCAAGAAGGTAAAACTCCGCAACGCCATAAACTAATCTAGTACAAGCCTCTTTACAGTCTCAAGATGATGGATTTAAAGGTTGTTCTAATAGGGTGCATGCTATCTCCAATTCTAGTAATGCCAGTGGTAGGTATGAATCCGCTGCCAATTCACAATGAAAATTTTATCCTAGAACTGTTAGGGGTTAGGTGTTCACCTAACAGTTAATAAGCTTAAGGAGGAATGTAGGAAGAATAGACCCTAGATTCTTTTCTTATGGGAACAAAATAGAAGCATCGTTGTGTTAGCAAGATTAAAAGGAAGATTGACTTTGATGAAGGATGGGTAGTTGATCTTGTGGGTAGGAGTGGATGCTTGGCTATTTGGTAAAATAAGGATGTTGTTGTGAATATTTTGTCTTCCTCCTTGAATGTAATCCACATGAGTGTGTCTTTAACCCTACATGAGACTCCCTCGTGTATCACATTCATTATGGTCTATCTTTAAAGCGTGATCGTTTGTTGGTGTAGAAGCAAGTCACCGCTATTGCCTAGAGAATGATTGACCCCTGGTTATGTTTGGGAGACTTCAATGATGTTGTCTCAATGAGGGAGAAAGAAAGGGGGAGACTAAGGGCTTTACGTAAGACGCTAAACTTTGAACTCTTTATTTTTTATTGTTCTCTCTCTAATCTTGGATTCAATGGTTCTCCATTCACATCGTGTAATGGTAGAAAAAATTTAGATACTATTAGAGAGCAGATTGAACAGGCTATAGGCAACGTTGAGTATTGTGAATGCTTCTCCAAGACCTAGGTCTTCCACATTGATCTAGTAGGTTTAGACTACAATCTCATTCTGGTGGATCTACATTTCAACTCTAGTAAAACTCCCAGGTCCTTTAAATTTAAAGAGTTTTGGCCCATTCACTTTGGGGATGAACACAATCAAAGTTCGATTAATCTCCTCAATCAGCATAGGATCTCTCCAAAGGTTTTGAATATAATCACAAATACTATTACTGATAATATCCCAGTTCTTTTGATAAAAGATGGCTTGGTAACCATCTTTCCCTGGACTTTTGAAACCATTCATAGAAAAGAAGGCTCTCTCGATTTCTTCCATAGGCAGATCCCTTCCTACTCGATTTAACCTTTCATGGTTCACTCTGGCCCATCTTTATGAGGTTTGGATCCAAATCCTATTTCCCCAATCTTCAAGAAAGAGCTCCTCATAAAAGTTAAAAAACATCTTGCGTATGTCCTCATCCAGTTACCCTGCTCATTTTTCAGCATAGCAATTCTATTATATTCGAATAAGCGTTTTGGTATGATAATATTTTGTGTTTCTGTCCCCCTAAGTTATCCAATCCGATCTTGATTTCTGGATCCAAAGAATCTCTTCGTCAAAAGCGTTTCGGCAGTTGAATTTAATGATAAGAATTTTGCTGTGGTTGTGGTTGTTCTTATTTTGATAATTTCGTATCCAAATTGGACACGCTCTCAAATTTTGGAGGGTATTTTTGGTCTTACAATCCTGTCCTTGTTTCTCATTGTCTTGGATAAGGATTCAGATTATATAGGTGGAGAAATAATACCGTCCCCGCATTTGTTTTTTTTTTTTCATCATTTTGTTTCATTTGTATTTTGAATATATAGTACTTCGTTTGTATCAATTTATAAAATATTTTTTTAAAAAAATTATACGCACTATTGATACACTTTACTACTTAAGTTTTTGAAAATATAAATATAAACTCCTAAAAATTTTATTCATTTAATTAACACTTCATTTATAAATGAATATTAAAGAGAGGGAATATGATGTAAAATATAATATTAAAAAAAATAAAATTTTACTTTTATTAAAGTGTTTTATAATTTTAGATGGAGGTAATAGATGTTAATATATTAATCTTATTATCGGTCTTTGTCTGTGTTTTTGTTTCTGTTCAATGAAAATTGGAATGCATATCTTCTGACAAAATGAGCCATGTGGCGTTAATTAGTCTGGTTAACTGAACCAAGCGGGGAAAAAGTTACAAACATGAACTTCTAGCTAGGGGATGGATGAATGGGTTGCTTCGTGACCTGGACTTGAAAGGGTAGCTTGTATTTTCAAATTTTATTTAAAAAATATTGTTAATTTAAACAATGATTAATTCTCATTAAATATGTATGCACAATTATGAATGCACCCAACAAAATTTGGTCTTAAAGAGGAAGGAATTTCTAAATTGAGAAAACAAGAACTTCATTTCAAATTCTATTTTCAACCTGAGAATTTTGAAGTGAGCACTATAAATTAAACAATCTTTAAAGCATAAGTGCCTGTAAGATTTTTTTTTTTTCCTTAGAAAAAGTAGATAGTCTATATATATAGCTATGCCCTGTGACTTAAGTTTTTTTTTAATTCTGAGAGTAATATATATATATATATATATATTTAAGGAGAAAAGAGGCTAATGAAATTTTTGGTCTCTTAAATTTAATTTTAATTATTGATTTGATTTTTGAAATTTAATCTTTGCCAATAAAGTTTCTAAAATTTCATAATCATATACAACGGGTGCTTAAGGTTTGAAGGGAAAATGAAATTAATCACATCCATTATTACAAGCAAGATTTTATTTTAACTAATTAAGCTTATTTTTCATTGATGTAAAAAGCTATTTTACATTCTACATATATCATCCCCAACAGATTGATCCAAAAATTCCAAATCCACATGCGAACATAAGCCTATGAAAGTTAGCTGCCAACCAGTCATACACATGCGGATAATAATGAACCATCTTTTCTTCTCTTCCTCCGACTTCCGAAGTATTAGATAATATGATCAATCCTATTCATTCCAGTTTGAAAGACAGCACAGCAAGCTGATCATCATCATCCACAAGTAACAAAAATGAGCTGCACTGATTCTCCTATACACGTTTATCTCGTCTCCTTCTCCGGCCAAGGTCATGTCAACCCTCTTCTCAGGCTCGGAAAGCGCTTAGCCTCAAAGGGCTTGCTCGTCTCGTTCTGCACCCCAGAAAGCTGGGCCAAACAGATGAGGCAAGCCGGTAGCATCTCCGACGAGCCCGTCCCCATCGGGGACGGCTTCATACAGTTCGAGTCCCTCCACGATGGCTGGCCCGACCATGACCCTAGACGTCAAGACCTCGACCAGTATCTCTCTCAGCTTGAGCGCGTCGGCAAGGAGCTTCTTCCTCGAATGATCAAACACCACACAGATCAAAACAGACCGGTGTCTTGTCTTATCAATAACCCCTTCATCCCTTGGGTCACAGACGTTGCAGAAACCCTAGGCCTCCCTTCTGCTATGCTGTGGGTTCAATCCTGTGCTTGTTTCTCCGCTTACTACCATTACTACAACAAATCAGTCCCTTTCCCTTCGGAAGCCGAGCCCGAAATCAGCGTTCAGCTACCTTTTATGCCCTTGTTAAGGTACGATGAGGTTCCTAGCTTCTTGTACCCAACAACTCCGTACCCGTTCCTGAGGAGAGCTATCATGGGACAGTTTAGGAACCTGGAAAAATCCTTCTGTGTCCTCATGGACGGGTTTGAGGAACTCGAGCACGAGAATGTTCAGTACATGTCCAAGATTTGCCCTATCATGACCGTCGGGCCTTTGTTCAAGAACCCCAGAGCACCAATCGACACGGTTCGAGGAGACCAATTGAAGGCCGATGACTGTGTCGACTGGCTCAACTCAAAACCTCCGTCGTCCGTGGTGTACATTTCGTTTGGCACGGTTGTGTACTTGAAGCAAGAACAAGTGGACGAGATTGCTCACGGCCTTTTGGGCTCTGGGCTTTCGTTTCTCTGGGTCATGAAGCCTCCTCACAAAGACTCTGGACTTAGGCCTCATGAGCTTCCGGATGGGTTTCTCCAGAAAGTTGGGGATGGAGGGAAAGTGGTAAGGTGGAGCCCACAAGAGCAAGTTTTGGCCCACCCATCAGTGGCTTGTTTTGTGAGTCACTGTGGTTGGAACTCATCAATGGAAGCTATTGCCTCTGGGATACCTATAGTGGCGTTTCCACAGTGGGGTGACCAAGTGACTAATGCTAAGTACATAGTCGATGTGTTCGGAGTTGGGGTTAGAATGGGTAGGGGTGAGGCTGCGAATGAGCTGATCGGAAGGGATGAAGTTAAGAGGTGTTTGCTGGAGGGGACGGTGGGCCCCAAGGCGGTGGAGATGAAGCAGAACGTGCTCAGGTTGAAGAAGGCGGCGGAGGATGCCGTGGCAGAAGGTGGCTCCTCTGATCGGAATCTCCAAGCCTTTGTAGATGAAGTAAGGAAGAGAAGCATAGAAATCGAGGACAAGGTTCCCTGAGTCGGAATTTGAAGCCAGATATTGGCTGTTAATGAGAGAATCTATATTAAATGAAAAAAAAAAATCAAGAAAAGGGAAAAATAATTTAGAATACTTATTTATTGTTAGATCTTATTTATTATCTTGTTTCTCACGTACGTATGTACGTGTGTGTATCAAAAAATACATATTTCCTCTGTTTAAACCAAATTTGGCAAATTAATAAATGTTTGCTTTTTAGTAAAAATTTTATTAAATCATAATAATTTTTTAATTTTACACTAATAATATCAATTAATATTATTGTGATGGTGGATAAAGCATATAATTAATATCTCTTTTCTTTTTTTCAAAACATGGGCAAAATTGTTTAATTACTCAAAAATATCATGACACTCCTTAAATTTAAAGATAAAATAAGCTTTTAAAAAATATCTTATATGTAGATACAAAGAGAGTATGAACCTTTTGGTTCTAAGTGTAAGATACTAATTCTAGAAACAATTTCTGTAATATAAAATGTAGGACATCCTCTAATACTTAAATAATCTTTTTTCAATTTATCATTTCTTGATTAATGTTAGATGAATTATATGTTATTTTAGATATTTAAAGATTAGGCATGAATTGTAACATTATTTAATGTTAAGGGTAAACATATAAATATACCTAATATTTTAATAATTATTCTTAGAAAATTAGATTTTTTAAAATGTGTAAAGTAGTTGAAAGTATCCTACAATAAAAATTAAGAGTATATTAATAGACAAATTTAATATGCAGGAAAACCAGGTGCATGAAAAGATATTAATTGTGAAGTGTTTGAAAGAGAAACTGAAAAAGAGATGCCGAATGAATGAATAAATAAATAAATAAATAAAATAAGGAGAAGATCAATAATTGAATAAAGAAAAAGAATTCATATATACCACACATTTGACATCTAGCCAGAACAATTAGGTCCGTATTGGCCAAAAAAAAATTTGGCCCGAATCGCCATATTCATGCAAAGTTCCAGGACAAAGTCTTTTTCATAATTTGTAATGCGCCTCACAATCATGCTCTGGTTTACTTCGGGCCGTTTGTGTCTTGTCAATCATGATGGAAAATAGAAAAATAATTTGCATAATAATTCAAAAGTTAATCCCAAATGGAAGTACATGCCCATACCGCCATGAAGAATTTTCGAAGGGAAAATCATTTTCAAGGCGGCTTTTGGGATTCCAATTAATAAAAAGTTTTTGAAATATACAAAATACTTTTAACTCTTAAATTTATTATTTTAAATATATTTTATGTTAAATTATCAAAATATTCTTGCTTTACTTTTCCTTTAAAAAAAGTTACCTATCACTGGTCGTCGCCCTAGTCGACCACCACTTGTTAGAGCTTTGAGTAGTTCTCGTCGTTGGTGGGGCAGCCGCATGTGTAATATTTTAAAAAATTTGTCTCTAATTAATTGAATTAAATGATGTTAATAAAATAAATTAATGTGATTTGTGATTATAGCTAATTGATATTTTGAATTGTGGTTTTAGTCATAATATTGAGTCTAAAATGTCACAGTGCACGAACCCAATTTTTTTGTATCATACCTGTGTTGCGTGTGATAGAGATAGATGATATGATAATTAGGAGATAAAAATGTAATTTACACCAAATCATCTTTTGCCTATAAGTTGATCCACAAATAACTGGATATTTTAAATATATTTTATGTTAAATTATCAAAATATTCTTGCTTTACTTTTCCTTTAAAAAAAGTTACCTATCACTGGTCGTCGCCCTAGTCAACCACCACTTGTTAGAGCTTTGAATAGTTCTCGTCATTGGTGGGGCAGCCGCATGTGTAATATTTTAAAAAATTTGTCTCTAATTAATTGAATTAAATGATGTTAATAAAATAAATTAATGTGATTTGTGATTATAGCTAATTGATATTTTGAGTTGTGGTTTTAGCCATAATATTGAGTCTAAAATGAAGTTTAAGCTACCCAAATCTTAAAATGAGAGAAAAATAAGAAAAAATAACTTTATACCATATATCGTGAACAAGATGTCACAGTGCACGAACCCAATTTTTTTGTATCATACCTGTGTTGCGTGTGATAGAGATAGATGATATGATAATTAGGAGATAAAAAATGTAATTTACACCAAATCATCTTTTGCCTATAAGTTGATCCACAAATAACTGGATATTCCGGTCGGACGAGCCACCATCCGCCACCGCCTCCCTGGCGGCCAGCTTAAGCATCTCCGCATTCTTCCTAATCTCCTCCGATCTGGACCCTCCAACGATCTCTTCAATAGCTCTTTCCACTTCCTGGGACCCAACAAATCCATCGCCGTCCTGTTCAAGTCGTATTCCCGTCCGGAAAACATCGGAAATAAGCTTGGCATTGGTGGGTTGGTCCGACCACTGAGGATAAGCGATCAGGGGAGTGCCTGCAGTTATGGCTTCCAACACAGAGTTCCATCCACAGTGAGTCAAGAAGCAAGCCGTGGCCGGATGAACCAGGACCTTAGTTTGAGGACACCATGACACGACGAGGCCTTGCTCTCTGGTTTCTTCCAGAAAGTCCAGAGGGATCCCTCCTCCTCCGTCTGCGACTATCGATTTTTCTAAAGTTTTCATGACCCACAGAAAATGACGTTTCGTTCTCTTTAAAGCAACTGTTATGCTCTCTATTTGTTTTGCAGAAGGCACCATGATGCTCCCGAATGAGATGTATATCACTGAACCTGGAGCTCTATTGTTTAGCCACTTCATGCATGAATCATCCGGCTTCCACATCTCAATACCAACGTCTTGCTTTTGGTCTGTAAATTGATGTATAAACGCTAATTCATGCAAACCAATCTTCCGTTTGTACTTTTCATTATATTTAATCCAATTTTCCGTTTTTTTTTCCACTTGCTTATAAGTTATAAACAACGACTAAAATTTAAAAAATAATTAATTACTTTCTTAAGATAAAAATATAACTTTTACAGTTTTACTTATATCCAAGAAGAAAGTGAATATATATAAAGAAGTTAGTAGATTGAGAATCAAATAAGGAAAAATGACAATGATGTCCTTTTAATTCAACTTAGCTCCCAAATGTTAAACTTTAGGAATTTACAACTCAATTTTTTAATTTGATATTTTATTATGATAAATTTATAACTTATAGTTTAAATTTTAATAGAAAAACCCTGTTAAATATTCTTTATTAAAATTTGAAATATAAGTTACAAATTCTTTATAACGAAATTGTAAAATTGAGAGAATAAATAATAAATTCTTAAAATTTAATACTTGAAATCTAAGTTAAATTAATTAATCCTTTTGAAATCTCTTTGTCACTATCCTATTAAATAATTCAACTCCACATCTAACTCATATATTTATTACTCTTTCCATCTTAAATTATAAGATATTTTTGAAAACAAAATGAGCATTTTAAAATATAACATATTTTAATAAAAATAAAGTTTTATTAATAAAAATATAAGACATTTCAATTATGCTTTTCCAGCATTACATTCCCATACTTTCTCCCTTTGGAACGTTAAATAAAGAGTGTTTTTGAAAGTTTAGATTTTTCTTTCAACAAAAATAAGATTATAAAATATATTTAATAATTTCTATTGATACATATGATTTTGTGTAGAAGTATTTTATAAATAAGAAGGAAAGGCATATTAGGAATAAGAACCAAATCTAAAAGATAAAATGATAATAAAATTCTTTTAAATTATATAAATAACAATTTGATTTATCAAAATGATATAATTACATTAAAGTCTTTAAAAATTTTTCTATCATTAATGAATTAATTTAAATAATAAAATTACCCTTAATTCATTATATTGCTAAAGTATAGTAAATAACAAGTATCAATCATAAATTTTGTTTAAATAGTTATAACTTTTCCTTTTACAATCGTAAGAATATAACAAAAAATTATAAGTTCGTATTTCAAATTTTTGATATTCCTAAAGTGTAGTAAATAATTAGTGTCAATTATAAGCTTTATTTAAATAATTATAAATTTTTTTCTTAAAATTACAAAAATGCAACAAAAAATCACAAGTTATGCTGCTAAAATCCAAATTTATAATTTTCTATTGCATTCTTACAATTTTAAAAAGAAAAATTATGATTATTTAAATAAAACTTATGATTGAAACTTATTATTTTTTACACTTTAGGAATATCATGAATTTAAAATGTGAACTTGTAATTTTCTGTTACATTCTTGCAATTTTAAAAGAAAAGTTATAATTATTTAAATAAAATTTATAATTGATATTTGTTATTTGTTATATTTCAACAATATAATGAACCAAGCACAATTTAATTATTTATATTAATTTATTAATGACAGAAAAAATTTAAAAGATTGTTGTGTAATTATGTTATTTTGAGAAAATAATTTATTGTTTATATAATTAGGAGAGGCTTTAATGTTATTTCCCAATCTAAAGTGTCACGGATCACGGGGGGCAAAATGTTCTTACCGTGTTCATCTTCACTGAGCAATGATGGAGGGACAAGTGGACCCACTGGTAGAATTGGACACAGATCAGCCATGGAATCTTTGGCGTCCTTCTCGAGTTCATAGAACGAATTTGCCAAGACCCATTTGAACTTCTTCACGTTCCGAAACATCTCCGATAGCACCTTCGGCATGCTTCCGAAAGGGTTCGTCGGAAGAACAAAAGACGGAAGGTCCTGATGCCGCAGCAATGGAAAACCCGGCAGCTCCACCACCTTCTCAGGCTCCGTCGCCGTCGGAAACTGGTTCAGTTCATTGTAGAAACGATAGTAAATGACATAGACGGCGCAAGGCTGTATCCAGACGCAAGCACAAGGGATTCCAGCCTCCTCGGCCACGTCAGCAACCCACGGGACAAACGGATTGTTGATAACACACGCGAGCTTTTTAGGACCAGCAACGAAGTGGTTCTTGATAAGGTTGGACAGACTTGTTGGTCCAACTATTTGGATCTTCTCCATGTATTGATCTAGATTTGTGTTCTTGCGGTCCTCTTGGTTAAACCCGTCGGAGAAGAATAGCACTTGGATTCCGTTGATGGTTATGGAGTCGGGAACTGCGGCGGAAGAGAAGCGAAATACGGGTGGTAGACAACTTCGGTGGTGGCGAGGGTGACGTGGAGGCCTTTGGAAAGGAGGCTATGGCCGAGTCGGAGTAAGGGGTTGATGTGACTCTGGGCTGAGAAAGCCACCATGAGCACATGAAGCTCTTGGTGGTCTTCCTTTGAGGCCGCCATGGATCAGGTGTGTGAAAGGAGAAAGGGGATTAGACTTGAAGACTTGTTGAGTAGCAGCCTCAAAGTCGCCAAAATAAAATAGTCCATGGAGGGATTAGGGTTGAAAAGTAAATATATTCCAAAAAGTTTTTTTACAAATATTGAAAAATAAAAATAATGTTTAATCATGTATTTTTTATTCAGGTAAAAAAAAACATCATGTATTTTTTTTAATATTAATTATATATAAAACAGAGAATAACAGGATAAATATCCCAAAATAGCCTTGTGACAAAAACGATCACGATACATTCCTCTGAAATCCTGAGATATTTTTCTGACTTAAAATTGTAGGGACTTGCGACAAATTTTCATGAGTTAAAATTGAATTGTTTATTTTTCCCAATGAAACTTCTAAATTTCATAATTCAATTACACAAGAACCTGGAAATGAAATTTTAAGTAGTTTAACAATGAGATCATTACATATAAGTATATCTCAAATTTGAGGTCCTCGTACGTATCGTGTCTCATTTTGCCTGTTTCATCATTCGCCATGCATTTTGGTCAAAAAAAAAAAAAATCATTCGCCATGCATGTCAATGTCTGATCATGACGTGACAGGGCCAGGGGAAAACATTTACAGCAAACCGATGTCACATGGAGAAGACTCGCCCTGCACATGTGCGTGGATGTACTTGTATGCACGTCACTTTTATGTAATGAAACCATTTTGCATGAAAATATGGATTGTTAATAATTTTTCTTCAATTTAAGCATTTCATAATTAAATTTTTCTTCAATTTAAACATTTTTATAATGTCGCAAGATTATTTGCAAATAAGTTTTTTATATGGGGTGTATTTATAATTTTTTCTTCTTTTTCATTGCATGATAATTGAAAGAAAAATTTTAATCTAGACTTCATTAACCAAATATAATGAAAAAAAAAGAACCCCTTAAAGTCTTAAATTTCACTGAAAACTAAAAGGAATGAAATAAAATAAAAATAAAAATAAAAATTACCTCATTGTCCTTAGTGGCTTAATCTTGTTAATTAAAAGACACTTGCAATTTCTCTATATTGAAATAATTAATTTTTCTACCATATTTGTTTGTGCACATAGTTTCATTTGATTTTATTTTTAGTATTGTTATCATAGTAAAAAGAGTTACAAATTTGTCATGCTATAATTGTTCATTGCTTATACCGGAATGGTTATTTTTCTTACAGAAGTTGTTTGTGTGCAAAACTTTACTTAGTTTTGTTTTTAATGCTGTTATCATGATAAAAAATAGTTACAACTCTTTTATATTAAAGTTGTTCATTTTTCATATTTAAGTAGTTAATTTTTTTATAGGAGTTGTTTGTAAGTATAAATTCACTTATTTTTATTCAAACTACTATTATCATAGTAAATAAAATTATAGATTTTTAATAATGAAGTTGTTTATTTTTCATACTGAAGTAATTAATTTTTTTATTGGAGTTGTTTATGGCATAGCTTAACTAAATTTTTCTACAAAATCAGAGGATCAATTTTATTATTTTTCTCAACATTTTAATTTCATTTCACTACTCTTGATAAAATTTCAAACTTTTAGAGGCTCTCTTTTTTATTATGTTTAGTCAAGAGGTCTAAATTGAAATTTCCACTAATTGAAATATCAAATAAATACCATGTTTTTAGTTAATAAATAATGTTATCTAAATGCCTTTCTGGCACTAATGGTCTGATACTTGACATGGCTAATTATAGAGGGGTTGATGACGCGACGGGAATTGCCGACCTCCAATTCGGAATTGAATACCCTCGTTTGCCCTTCCTAGAGGACATTTGGTATTGTTAGGTTTTTTTTTCTTTTTATCAAAAGTTGGTTGTTAAAAATTTATTTGACAAAAATCAGTATAATAACAATCAATTATTGCAGTGAAATTTATGTTTGAATATATGTTTTAAAAATTAGTTTCAAAAATTAAAATTTATTTGAACTATATAAAATAAAAAGTTCTTGTAAATGTACAATTATAAAAAAAAGATATTGATTTTTATTATTTATAATTTTTGTTACACAAATGCTTCATATTAAAAATGTTTGAGAAATGCATGTGATAAAAATTTTAAATAACACAAATTTTTATATATATTAAACAATAAGAATAAAAAATATAAAGTTTAATATGTTGGACAAAAATTACATAAATTAGTGCCAAATGACAGTTTAAAGCTTGCCTAATAAATGTTGCTTTCTTTGTATGTAAAAATCCGCTCACGTGCAATTTATTTATGTGTAAAAATCAAGGATAGCATGGTGATATAAAAAATTAGGAAGATCCTAATGTTGCTTTCAAAAAATCCACATTCAAGAGCTTTTAAGATGCTCACATTTAATATTCAATGGTATCTCAAGCAGGATTGCCTCTAAAAAATACATACTGTGAGAAAAAAAAAAAAGGGAAGAAGAAGTTGACTTAGAGTCAAATTAAATACTTAAACCACTTTCCACTTCGAAAGTACAAAAGCACTTTTTCATTTTTTATTTCTTGTAAAGTGGAAAGGGGAAAAACAAATGTGCGCTAAAATTTTATTATTATTTTTAGTAATTTACAAGGAGAACGAAAATGTAGTACCCCCTTCATTCAAAAATATAAAATATTTTTTATGAGATAAAATATTAAGAAACATAAAAAATTTTTAGTGAATTTTTTTACTTTAATAAACGAGAAATAAAGTGTAACTTAAAAGATAATTAATTGACTAATTAGGGATAATTAAGTTAAAAATGCCTTATAGTATTAAAAATAACCTGCAAGTTTCAATTTAAATAATTACCAACAATAAATTTAAAATCTAAATAGAATTCCCATCTAATAATTGAAATTCTTACTTACAATTTTCTAAATTAATATTTGTAACTCATTTTTAAAAATATTTTGCAAGGACCTAACTGCTATTAATTTCTTATTTTGGGACTTTATTTTCATTTTTCCTAATTTATATACTCCCTTTTAAAAAAAAAATCTATTCACTTTTTAGATATTTTTTATTAATTATTTTAAACTTTTAAGATGATATCTATTGATTACTTTTTTTAAATTATATCTTTATTTTTAATATATGTAATTAAGGAGTAAAAGGGAGATAATTAGAAAGAAAATAGATAAAATAAATTAAGGGTACCTACGTTAGAAAACTTAAAAAGAATTCTAACATCGATTGTATTTTTTAATTTATATGTTATAATCCTAAACAACAGGAAAAAAAAAGAAGTGGATTGAATAAATACTCTAACTAAAACATAAAAAGCGGGAAATTAATCAACGAAAATCTAGCAAGCAGTATTTTCATAATAATTACATTTATATATCTTAATTTTAGTAATCGCTTGGTTCAATTTTCTAATTAAACTTCCCAAAAGTTTATAATCGATTGCTTATTTCGCTTTTTGTTAAAAAAAAAGATTAATCACTTATTTCGCTTTTATAATTCTTGAGAAGCTTGCCTAATTTTTAAATAAATATAATATCTTTTAAAACTAAATCCCTTAATTTATTTGTACATCCCTGCAGTAACCTCCAACATTTATAAAAACAAACAATTGCACTTTTAAAGAGAGAAGACACTGGCAGTATAACAAGCCCAATTTATATCAAAACTCAGCCCAATAAGTAAAGAAGATTACTTAATTGAACCGAAGCCTGCGGTTGACATAGTGACTATTTGGTTAAAAAAAAAAAAAAGAACTTGGTGGGTTGGAATCCCAGTGTCCATTAGTTTTAATATGATGGAAGGAACTGGAGCACAAGTGAAAATTAAAGAGCTGCCTTACAATTTAAAGAAATATGCCAGAGTTAGTCTCTGAAACAATTTCAACGAACTGTTAAGCGAACTCAGACCTAGAAAAGTTTGGGACTGTTTGTTTAAAACTTTTGGACTCTCCAAAGTTTTTTTGGGAAACCATGTGAAGGAGGTAGCTAGCCCAGGCCAACGCGTTTAAGTCCATAGCAACATTGTTCCATATTTGATTATAATGGAGATTTGGTATAATATAAAATATAAAGTAACATATTGAGTAGTATGGGATGTTTAATATTATTTAAGTGGGTTGGTTCTTGCATTGATATAGGGTTTCCCATCCTAATTAAATACCTGCCAAATTATTAGGAAGAGGATGATATTGCATTATACGTAGATGACATGGGATGTTTTAACCATTGGTGTGATCAGTATCTTCTCATTGCAGATGTTCAGTAAAGGGTCAGAGCTAATCAGCATTTGGGCTAACTAATCGATTCTGTATCTTCGTCACTAGCAATTATAACTTTAATTTTGACCTACTGGTAAGCCTTCAATATGCTACATTAACTAGTTTGTTCACAGACTATACACGCTACTCTTGAACAAATTGATAAATGTCATTCCCTATTTTCTTGCAAAAGAAGAAGAATCTACGTACTTGAGCATGAATTCTGACAATGATAGCATGTCCGTCGGTGAAAATTCTAAAATTCTTGTGAGCTGTAGAAGAGGGAAGCAAACTGATCTTTACTGTACTGAAATCTTTATATCAGAAAACATAGTACTGTTCTTGAAATACTAAATAAGCCGTATAAGGAAGAAAAAACTTCCGACTTAGCCACAATAAACTCTCACATGAATAATTAGGAAGAATTTTATAGCCACCACTTAGTGCCTATTTGGTTAGGCTTTAAAATTGATTTTTGTGTCTGAAATTGATTTTTAAAATGAAATTATCCAAACGACTGAAAAAGAACAAAAATCAATTCTGACATATTAAGTGCGTAAGCTGATGGAATCAGCTTTTGCTAAAAGTTTATCAAAAAATGTTGAAAAAAATTATAAAAGAAGGCCCAAGAAAAAATTACAAATCAGGCACATAATTTAATAAACATAAAATTAAACTCTCTTCTTTTCTCTCTTTTTCTTCCTTAATAAAATTCAAATTTTGTATCCTCAAAAAATTAATGTTTGATATTCAAGAATTAAATTATATAATAATTTATATAGTTAAAATTAATTCTGATTAAATTATTCAAATATTTTTAATTCTGTTAAAATTAATTTTAGAAAAAC